GAGTGTTTCCGGGGAAGAGCAGCCAGCAGAGGACAGATTGGGCTGGAGCAGGGCAGCAGGGCTGGTGTGCCAGGCAGGCAGGCTCCCAGGAACAGGGTGGCAGCAGACAGCACCCAGAACAGGAGCCAAAATGAGCCTCAGGCGGCCTGGGAGAAGCCAGGCTGTGAACGAGGCCTCATGACCTGCTGGTGCGTACGGCTGGCAGACGGAGGCCAGAAGGCGGCCAGCCAGGGATGGAGCAGGTCTGGGAGCTGGAGCCAGGAGCAGGCAGGGCATCTCCCCGGGGAAGGTGGCAAGGAGTGGAGGCAGCTGGCAGGGGCCGGAAGGGCCAAGGAGGCTTGTCCACGGGCTGTGTCGTTCAGCCGGGGCCAGAGAGGAAAGTGCAGTGGCCCAGTGGGGGCCAGGTGGGGTGCAGGCTGGCTCAGAAGGAAGGGGTCACCCCCTAGCAAAGAGGCGGAGACCAGTTCCCACGGACTCTCAGGGTGTCAGCAGATCCAGCAGCTGGACTGCCTCAGATCCATCTCTCGGAAGCTTCTGCGACTGCTTAGCTTGCAAGCTGGGGACCAGGCTCAGAGCCATGACCTCCTGCGGTTTGTAACCTGCTGGTGGTGGCGCTCTGTGGACTCTGGGTTTTCACCATCACGTGAGTGGTGAAGCCCTTCCAAGGGGGAGGGCTGGGGGTGTGCCTCCTCCTCCTGTCCAGTGGTGGGGAGGGGGGCTCTGTGGGGCTGAGGGGGGGGGGGGCTTGAATAAGACTGGGCCACAGGTTGAGCAGAAGCCCAGAAGCTCCCACTGGGGCTGGAAGGGACAGCAGTGGCATGGACTGGGGCCACCTGTCAGCCCACCAGCAGGAGGCCATTCCCTGCTCCGACTCCCCCAGGGTGTTTTCGGGGTCTGGTGCTGAAAAGAGCAATCATGGATGTCCCCATACTGGTCCAGGCTCTCTTCCTTCCCCCGTTTAGGGGCTAATGCCTTTCATCTGCCCCATTCTCCTGGAGGACCCAAAGGTTAAGGTCAGGGCAGGGGCTGCTGTGAAGGTAGTGGGGCTCTGTCTGGGGTCCAGCAGAACAGGACAGCATGCTCGTTCAGGCCTCATCGAAGGGGGAGCCCTCCCCTCTCTTCCTTGGGCTTCCTGTCCACAAGCCAGGGAGGCCCTCTCAGCTGGGGAGGCACACAGAGGCAGCAAGCTCGGCTGCCCCGGCTCCCTGGGTTCGGGGGGGGCTCTGGCAGGAGAAGCCCAGCCTCCTCATCTTTCTCTCCGGTCTGACAATGAGACAGATGTTGGGATGGGGCTCCAGCGCTGGGTCTCCACGGGAGGCCCCGAGTGAGGAAATAGAGGGTTCAGCAGGCTCCCAGGGGCCTGGGCAGGCTCTCAACACACCTGTTAACCAGGGGTTGGGGGACAGGCTCTCTCCTCTTGAAAAGTCATTGTGTGCAGACACTCACCATCTCACCGTGTTTCCTATGCTGAGTCATCCTTCCGGGAATTCCTCACGTCTCCCTCCCTCCGTCCCTTGGCTGTTAACCCCCGGCCTGCCTCACAGGTTCTCTGTGTCTGCAGCTCTCTGGGTGACAGCCTCCCACAGGCTGGGACGCAAATCATCGGGGTGATTTCAGTGGCGCCCGGACAAATGCTCCTTATTTCAATGTCATGGTTCCATTTTAATGTGTTAGGATAATGTAGCCTCCATGGGAGCTATGACTTCCTGACTGTGAGTCCTCAGGAGGAGGCTGTGTTAGGGCAGGAACCCAGGCGCACTCTCCGCCGGCCTGCCTCTGTGCTCAGGCCTTGTCCGTCCCCCCCCCCCCCCCCAACACACAGACACACCCAACACACACACACACACACACACACACACACACACACACACACACCCCTACTGCGCACCCTCCAGCCCATCTGTAGTAACTGCAGCCGTATCCTACGGAGGGTCAGCTGTGCCCAGGTACAGACTAGAAACTAAGCAGCTCTTAGCCACTGGCCCCCAGGCATGGATCGGCACCTGGTTTATACACGCATTTCATCGGCTGTGATGGTAAACAGCTCTGGGCAGCATCCCCTCTGGCTTCTGCGCACACAGCCCCAGAGGGCGCTCCCGAGCCCCGCTCTACCTGGGCACCTTCCTCTTCCCCCTCCACTGCCCGCAGGACACCCGCTAGGCTTTTGTGCCCGCGACTGAGGCATGCTTTCCTAAGTCACCTCAACCTGACCTTCAGCCTCAGCTCCTGCTACTTGTCATAGAGAATTGTGCCAAGGCTTCCACAACTACTTCCTGGGAAAAGGTTAAGGCAGGCGCCACAGGGAAGGCACTCGACAACTGACGGCGGTTTCTGTTTCCACAACAAAAGAGGGCACCTCGGACCCTCTGGCTTTCTTCTTAGTGGTTTTTAGTGAAGAAGACACGGATTCCCTCTCCAGGATCTGGTCCCTTTCCCCTCCTGGGTCTGGTTCCTGTCTGGGGATCAAGGAAGTGAGGCTGGAGAGAGGAGGCCGTAGTCCTGCTTCAGGCTGGGCTGGCTCCAGCCCCACCCGGGAGCCTCTGGCAGCTGTGGGCCCTTTGTCTTAAGAAAGACAACCTGGACGGGTGTGAGACAGGCTGGGGAGGAGTCTGGGTCCATCCCTGTGGAATTGTTCGAGGACATGGAAGGGTAAGGCCTGGAGGGAAGGAGTCTGGGGTAGCGTGGCATCCTCCGCAGAGGTCACGTGGGAGAGGACTTGCACGGGCCAGAGCTCAGACTGCGCTGGGAACACAGGTGGACAACTTCAGCTTAACTGTCAGAGGGCCGTCTCAAGGTGGCAGGAGCTCCCCGGGACCCTCTGAGACCCCAGATCCAGGATCTGCCTAAAAATGACCAAATCGGAGGATGCACGAGGCCCCTCCCACTCTGGAAATAAGAGGCTGTAGAAGCCCCCAAGCGCGACTGTTCTTTAGCAATAGTTTTCAAATTGTCTTTAAATTCACAGAACGCTCTTTTACAAAGTTCCGTTTCCATCAACGCATACTCCTAAAAGACAGCTCAGTGAGGGGGTGGGGTTGCGGAGGGGCCTCCCGCCTCTGCGTCCTGAGCCCAGTGTGAACATTATTGTTGGAGAACCCTGCAGGCCACGGCCTGCTGAAGGCTGGAGCAGCTCCAGGTACTGAGCGCATGTAAGGAGTCCACTCCTCTTTGGCAGTTTCCCTTCTCTGCACACAAGAGGCCCAGTCCCTCCCAGGTCACCCTGCCTGGTCCTAAGCGGGGCCTCGGCTGCACTCTTTTCTCCTGGGCTGGCTCCTTGGTGCCTGACTGGTGGTTCTCAGGCCTTGCACTTGGTCGTTCACCCCACAGCATCTCCCCTTGTCGAACCCTTTTCTTTCAAGTAAAAGGCACCTCCTATTTTTAGAGCTGTGCTGGGCATCGGACCACGGAGCCCTGCCATTCTCCTGTGATAAAAAATTACAGCAGGAAAAGCAAGAAAATGGCATGAACACGAGCCTGGAAAGAGGACAAGGGCTCGCCTTGGTGGGGGGTGGTGGGAATGGAGAGAAGGCTCCTTACCCGCTTTCTCCTCCTGCCCCAGCCTCGTGAATCTGGGTGCTCTTTCCTCCAGCCCGGCCTCTGCCCGCTTGGCTTCACACAGTTGTAACAGCTCTCTGACCCCAGGCCTCGGGGCCCACACCATCCCCCATGCTTGGCCAGAAGGGTCTCCCAAAATAGGAGTCTCACAAGTCAGACCCAACTCTGCCACAAAGAACTGCCTAAGAGAATTTATTCTGCAAAGGCCAGTTCAGACCCCCACTGGGCCTTTCTGGTCACCCACAGCACTCAGCATATTGTCCCTTCTCTCTCTCTCTCTCTCTCTCTCTCTCTCTCTCTCTCTCTCTCTCTCTCTCTCTCAGTACCTGTCACTCACCCTAGAGACCAAGGTGAGCACATTTGTTTTGTATTTCTGACCTTGGCCCAGCCCACTGTCCATGGTATGGAGGCTTCTCCCCCTTCTACCGCTCCCCCCCCCCCCCCCCCCGCCAAGTTGGGGCACTGCCAGCGTCTCTCTGAGTCCTTTCTCTGTGTGTGCGTCTCCCCCTGGGAGGACACTGTGATATCAGCCTGCTCTGGAGGAAGAAATGACAGCTGCAGTCGCTGGCCTGCCTTGAGTTGGGCTTGAGCCTAAAGCAAAGCCCAAATATGGCAGAAGTCAGGGTGGCTGTGGCCAGTGTGGGAGGGACCTCATGGTGCCCACTACGGCACTGCAGTGAAATAAAAGGGGGACACCGAGGATGCCATCGTGGCTGGATGTTGGAGGGGAGGGTTGTCATGGACCCGCCGAGCAGGGCCAATGGGGTTGTCCAGGTGGCTGAACCTACAGTGCAAAGAGGAGACCAAGCAGGGCTCCCGTTTCCACACGGTGAGGACAGAGAAATGATGGCCGTCCCTCATTCTCCCTCACCGAGCATGGTGGCTTCCTGGCAGACGTAGCATCACCATCTCAGGGAGGTGGATGGCAGGTCAGATCCCAGTTCCTCTCTCTCTGGCTGTGGAGCCTCGGCTCTGAGGGGTTCTTCCTGGTGATTGTGGTACAATTCCGGCCAAGTGCCCGGCACAGACTGAGCGATCGGACATGGTAGCTGCTAGAGCCGTGGCTGTCACCTTATTTTTTTTACTTTCTTGGTGTCGCTGGTGGGCCAGAGTGGCCGTTCTTGGTGGGCAGAAGCTGGTGCCCAGCTGGCTCTGGAACAGAGGTCCCTGTGTGGACCTGTGGCCTCACCTCCCGGCAGGAAGCGCCAGGGTTTGCTGGCTCTGGGAGGGGAGGAGGGGCTGCCCCCAGTCTGAGGGGCAGGGCAGGTGCAGGGGTCCATGCTGGATCCCCAGGGTGCCTTGTCCCCATCGCCCGGATGTTCCCCCGGGCTCTGCATCCTGCTCTCCGGCATCGGCACCCAGGCTGGGTGCAGCGCATCTTCTGAGGTGGGGACCGCCTCTGCTCCTCCTTTTGTTCCTTTTACCATGACGCCTGTTGCTCATAGGTACAAATCAAACGAAGAGTATGTATATGTGCGAGGCCGCGGCCGAGGGAAATATGTTTGTGAGGAGTGTGGAATTCGCTGCAAGAAGCCCAGCATGCTGAAGAAACACATCCGCACCCACACTGACGTCCGGCCCTATGTGTGCAAGCACTGTCACTTTGCTTTTAAAACCAAAGGTAAGCGACAGTCAGTTGGGGCGCCACAGCACAGAGCTCAGGGGCCCAGGCCTCTCTGCCTTGGCCTAGGGGCACCCCCACTTCCTGGGTTTCCCCGATGGCCGAGCAGCTGGCTCCAGATCGCCCTCCCCCCACCACCACCACCAGCCTGTCCTCTTGGATCCCACACGCCCTGCACCTGGCACTCCCCACCACCCGGCGGCCCTCCCGCACCCCCTGGTTTGGGTTGGCTCTCATCACCTACCCCTTCCTCTGCATGCGTCCTCAGCCCTTTGTCCACCCACCTGACAAACCCCAGCATCCACACCCGTCACGGCCACGCTTGCATTTGCAAATCCATTCCACTCCGAGCCACTGAATACATTCGAGGTCACTTCTAATGCCGGACTCTGCCCCTGCCTCCACCCGCCTCAGCACCCAGACCAAGCCCCCGCTCCGCCCAGCTTCTCTGCAGCTCCCGGCACAGGGCCCGGCCTCCCCCATCCAGACTGGCAGCCCTGCCATCCGGCCCAGCCACACTCCACAGCAGAGCCAGGCGGGCCCGGGCAGGCACCTGTGAAAGGAAGCAGGGCTGGCTGTTGAGGGCAGGCATCCCACCGCGGAGAGGGCAGGTGGCGGCGGTGGCCGCTGCGGGATGAGGGGGCTGTGTCCCCGACCCGGCTCTCTGCTCACCGCCCCGGTGGCTGTTCCTGCGGGACAGGAGGGCCGCTGCGCTTGCTCACGGCTCCCCAGGGGCTGAGCGGGCAGGGGGGACTGGGAGAAAGGCCTGGACCCTCGCCTCCCTGGCGGCTTCAGCCTCTTGCGCTTTGCAGGTTCTGGGGTCAGAGTTTGGGCACGAGGACCCCACTTTCCCCTTCCCGCCGGCCCCCCTGGAGCCACCCACTGTTCAGTGGTGGAGGCTCCAGAGCAGGTTGTCCTTTGCTTCTCCAGTTGTTGACCTTCCTTCTGTTGGTAAAGCAAGAGCTTGTAACCTCCCTCACTTCCTCCTCCTCGTGCAGCCTGTGCTAGTCCAGGGGGGGGGAGGGGGCGCAGTTTATCACAACATGGACACAGGGCTGAGGACACAGGCAGAGGAAGGGCTGGTCAGGGCCTCCTCTCAGTCTCCTCACAGAAGCAGGAAACCTCTGTGCCCGTCTCTGGTCTCTAACCCATGAACCCAGCCCCTCCTCTGTCCTCTCGCCCTCACCCTCAGCCCTGGCCCCCTCCCGCGGCCTGTCCTGGGAGGAAAGGCCCGGGCTGGGACAGGCCTGGGTCCCTGCAGGAGCCCCCTTTTCTGAGCAGCGCCCACACTGGAAGCCACGGAGCCTAGCTGCAGTGTCCGGGTCCCTGGGAGCCGGGCAAAGCCCTGGCCGGTCCCGAGCGCCCCTGGCGTGCCCTGGGGGTGGGTGTCAGGGTGCAGGCTGTGTCCCAAGTTGCCGTGAAGGCCCGGCCCAGGGGGGCTTTGCTCTAACCAGTGACCAGGGACCGTGCTAGCGTGCCTCAATGCTCACAGAGGCTTCCAGAAGGCAGCACCTGCCAGAGCCAAAGCGGCAAGAGGGTTCGCAATGGAGGCTTCTCGGGCTCTGAGAGCAGGGCGGGCTGGCGGGGGGTGGGTTGAAGCAGAGAACCTCACCCTTGGCTCTGCACACAGGGAAGGGAGGGGAGGGCAGGACATTCCTCCCTGGGCTGTCACTCAGAAACCACCCCCCCTCTCCCAGCTGCAGCCCCACCAGCGGCCTCCGTCTCTCCCTCCTCCCCCCGCTGGGGCTTTGGCCCAGCCAGGCCGTGGGAGAGCTGAGGCTGGTCCTGGTGGTCCTCAGGGCCCTCCTGTCCGTCTCTGTCTGCCTGTCTGTGTCTCCGTCTCTGTGTTAGATGTTGTGGCGGCAGTTCGGGCCCCTGGGGATGCCTCGGCAGGTGGGGTGGGGGAGGACCCCCAGGATGTCCCTATGGAGGCTTGGGGGTCCCTTTCCTCTTCTCAGGTGGCTCCCAGCAGCCAAGGGGGTGGCTTGCACCGATCGCCTCAGGGGACAGAGGTGACGGGGTGGGCGGGCCTCATGGCCCATGGGCTGCAGGGGCGGAGGGAGGACGGTGGTCAAAGCCGAAGGGGGCAGACGGCCACCGGCTATCGATCTCAGTGGAGGTTCTGCCTCTCGTTCAGACGCCACCATTTCCATCCACCTGCCTTTCCTCCCTCCTTCCAGGCCTGTGGGTTTTCTGGTGGGGATGGGGCGGGGTGAGGTGGGGATGGGGGATGGAACGGGGGTGGGATGGAGTGGTGGTGGCTGGGATGACTTGAAGAAGCTGAGGATTCCGCATGGCACCCACCGCTCTGCCCATGGACAGAGAAATGATGCCCAGGCCATTGGGGGCCCCTCCGCAGTTCACAGAGGATAAAGACCAGGAGGGCAGCCAGGGATGCTCTGATGGCACTTAGGGCCGCCCATCCAGATTCCCTCCCACACAGCCTGTCCAGGCATGGTCATCTCGGCAGCCCTGCCTCCTCCCTGCAGGCTCCAGGGCAGGGGAGGGGAAAGCAGACCCCTGGGGCTGTCTGGTACCTTCTCCTAAGAGCATCCGAGCCCAGACTCCAGGGCAAAGCCATTTGCACCACCAGCGTCATCGCAGCCTCTCTCTCCCCCACACCGAGGGGCACATGGTGGAGTCCCCTGGTGCTCAATGAGAGTGATTGTCTTGGGCCGGAGGTGGTACAAGGGACGGAAGGAAGAAGGTCCCACATGGTAGGTGTCTGCCCTCTGCCAGGCACTCTGCTGCCACTCTACCGGCTCTCTCAGCAGCAGAGCAGCGGCCCTGAGGGGGTTATTACTTTAGAGTTGCAGAAACTGAGGCTCAGATTAAGAAACTTGCCCAGGACGACAGAGCTAACAAGTGGCAGAGCCCAAACTCAAAGCCAAGGCCGCCAAGCTCCTAGACCACCCAGGCTTTATGCAGCCATGTGGAAAGGCAAGGCCCCTGGAGTGTTGAGACTCGGGTCTAGACAGGGCTCTGTGCTGACTGGCAGCCTGGCCTTGGCTGGCTGGGTCACTGTGCTGTTGGCAGGGCCCTCCCCTGGCAATCCCAGAGGCAGAGATAGTCAGTGGCGTCATCAGCACTGAGTCCAGAGCTAGGGCACAAGCAGGAAGCCTCTGGGCCCGGTGGGGGTGGGGTTACATGGTCTGTGAGGTTCCTTCCAAGACTTTGCTTCTGTGATGAAAGAGCGTGTCCCCACACATGGCTGGTGTGCACCATGGTGTGCTCAGCGTCTCACTCGGTTGAAAAGGGACCCAGTCCTTCCAGGCAGAACGTGTACCACAGATGATGTCATAGCCAGAATGAGCAGTGTCCACGGTGCTCTGTGGTCTGGGAAAGTCTGGGGCTGGGGTGTCCCAGAACCTCAGGAGACAGTTTGTGTCTCTGGCCCATGGAAGACCCCAGCTGCCTTGACCACCTCTGATGTCCCGTCCCATTCAGGGTCTGCCATTCGCGACAGGAGGGGAGCCCCTGACACTGGGGAGGGGCTGTGGGAAACCCTTTGGCCCCCGAGTTGGTTCTCTAGAAGCTCTGACTCTGCTCCCAATTGGGCAGCAGGAAGGGATCTGGGTTTCTGCCCAGTTATAGGAGGGAAATCGGAGGTGAGAAAGGCAGGCAGTCATGAACAACAATGGAGGGGAGGAAAGAAAAGAAACAGCTCCTCTTCCTCCCAGCTGCCCTTGACCTCCACACTTCAAGAAACCCCAGCCTGAGGTTCCCATTACCCTCCCCAGCAAAACTCTAAAGGCTCCTCCACATTCTCAGTGTGATTAAAGGCCACCCTTTGGTTCATCCAAGGGCTCTCTCCCTATTCACCTCCCCATCCATCGTTTACCCTCTCATTTATCCATTTCTCCCATCCTCACATATAATAGTTTGCCTTCCTACCCACATCTCCCCACTGGTTTTTCTCATCCTATATGTTCCTCCCCTTCTCACATTTGTCCTCCCACCAATCCATCCTTTCACACATTTCTGTATCCTCCTGCCTGTCTGGCCTCCCGTGCGTGTAAATGTTCATGCATCCACTCACCCATTCATTCATGTCTGTCCTCTATCCAGTTCTCCATCCTCCCATCTGCTTATTGACCCACTTTCTATCTACTCTCTCATTCATGTTTTTCATCTAATATTTTATCCCCCATCTATCTATCCAACTGCTTAGCTCATCATCCATCTGTCTATCTTCTTCCAGTCCTTCCTTTGCTCTGTATTTTCTCTTATCTGTCCATCCATCCACCCATCCATCCATCCACCAGTCTCCCTTATGCATCTGTTAAATATCCATTCTCCTTTCTTCCACTCATCCACCAGACTTACCAATTGTTAAGATCAGTGGGACAGAGCACCCAACTCAGGGAATGTATGGTTTATAGCATAAAGGACCATGTGGAAATATAGCAATCCACAGGGCGGCAATGCCATGTCACCGTGCCGAGGTGGCTTCTGGGCCCAAAGGATCATTGTGAGGCATCTGGCCTGCATCCTGTGGGGCAGGCTGGTGGTGCCCTGCCTCTGCTTCTCAGTGCACCCCTGCTGCCCAGCTTTGGGGCCTACATATACGAGCACACTTGTGTGTGTGTGTGTGTGTGTGTGTGTGTGTGTGTGTGTGTAGGTGGGGGAGGGGGGAGGGGGATGAAGATGTTCTATCTTTGTCTTGATTTCGCAGAGCAGCTGCCCTGCTCATCAGTTGGGGGGGGGGGGGTTTGTGAACTGACCACTTGGGGCAGAGTTAGCCACCCCAAGGACTCCGTGGGCATGGAGTGGGCAGGCCCTTTGCCCAGCCTTTCCTCCACTGCACAGTGACCTGGGGGAAACTGAGGCCCAGGACATGCCCTCTCTAAGGCAGCCAGGGCTCAGGCCCCAGCCTTGTGGCTCCCTGTGGGCTGCCCTGAAAGTGTCCTCAGCTGGAAGGGCATCCTCATAGCCAAGCCACCATGCTGGCGAGCGGGAGGCCTGCTGCTGCCCGGCGTGGGAGATGGCCAAGCCAACAATCTGCGTGATGTGATGAGGGCCACCAGCTCCTGGGCCCAGAGTCCAGTCGAAAGCAGGAAAAGCCTGGGCACAAGATGTCTTTTAATTTCTTTTTTGTTTGTTTTTCTTAACCAGCATCTCACTTTCTCATTATACCCTGTGCCCCTTCCCAGCCCTCCCCACACCCCAGCTCCTGGATGCTGCTGTGAAGGGTGGCTGTGGCTGTACATCCCAGCTTGAGTGCAGGCCCCTGTCCAGCCCCTGAAGCTGGCAGGGCCGCAGCCAGTCTGTGAGCCATAGCCTGCCAGCCGGGGGCTGCCTCTGCGTGCCCTGGGCCTGCCCTGGCCCCTGCCCTCCAGCCAAACCTGAGTCTGTTCTCGTTCCTTTCCAGGGAATCTGACTAAGCACATGAAGTCGAAGGCCCACAGCAAAAAGTGCCAAGAGATGGGGGTGCTGGAGGAGCTGGAAGCCGAAGAAGGTAACAAATAGCCAACTTGCCTTTCCCTCCTCTCCATCTCCCCCGCCTCCTCCTCCTCCTCCTCCTGCTGTCCCCCTCACCGTCCCCATCCCCTTCCTTTCTGTCCTCCTCTTCCCTGACCCCCTCCTCTGCCTCTCCTCCCTCTCTTCCAATTTTCCCAACTACTGGGAGGCGGGGGTTAAATTCCCAGAGTGACCGCCTCCCTCCCATACACTGAGAGCCGTGCTGTGCAGCTATAACTATTGTGCCTTATAGTCTACCACGCAGGGGGCGTGTCTTGCGCTTGAGGTGCTCAGTGAACATGTGTTGAATAAATTAACACATGAGTAACCCCAGTCAACATTGACAGCACCCACTACCTGTCGGGTCTGTTCTGAACACATGCCAGTGTATCAGCAACGTATCGCAGCAAATCCTCGCCTTGCCACTAAAAGGCGCCCTCTCCTACACTCACACCTACATGCTCTGGGCAGGGGGCAGACCCCTGGGCCTTGTAGAGCTGGAGTCTTCAAGAGAGCCAAAGCCAGACCTGTCACTCTCCTCCCATCCCACATGCCAGCACCACATCCGGTTGTAGTCCTTCCTCAGCAAGAGGCATAGTGTCAGCACCAGCTTCTGAGGACACACGCAGAGGAAGTGACTCTAAGGCAGTGAGTCTGCCAGGACACTGCCCAGCCTCAGCATCCAAAGAGGAGGCCACAGGGGTTTGGCAGGTGGACAGGCTGTGTGTGTGTGTGTGTGTGTGTGTGTGTGTATTTCTGCTTTTGTTGCTTTTTTTTTCTGATTTGGGGATGCATTTGCAGTCTTACAAAAGCGTTAGATCATATTTTTTTTCGGGTGAAATATCTCACCTTTATTGAATAGAATGCAAAGAACTTAGAGCTGTTCCCCCAACACAGTGGTCAGCAAGCTCATTAGTCAACAGAGCGGCAAACCACAGCTCGAGAGCTGCATGTGGCTAGTGAGCCGCAGTTTGCCGACCACTGCCCCAAAACAAGGAATGGGGTTATCATTGCTTATCAAGAATGCATGTCAGGCCATTTATGGATGTCTCACTGAGCCCTCGTGACCAGTGGTGGAAACCTGGGTGTCCCATTTTAAGCTGAGGAAGAGAAAGCTCAGACAGGCAAAAGCAATGCCCAAGGCCACAAATAAATGTTGACTCTACATCACCCCAATGCCTCATGGGATGGGTGGGAGCCTGAGCCCTCCCTGGGTGGGAATCGAGAGGTTGTGACTGGCATGACACCAGGGGTCAGCTGCAGGGCCCTGGTCTGGTCCCTGCCTCTCTCCCAGCCTCATTTTCCCAGTGAGGCCACAAGGACCTCTGTGCCCACCTTATCGGGGGATGAAATCAATGCATTCATTACGGAAATAGCATCTGAGCACCAGCCCTGTCCCAGGCCCTCTTGTAGGCGCTGGTGGTCAGTTCTGCAGTGGACAGAGCGTGGTTCCTGTCCTCAACAAGCTTGCATTTTTGAAGAAGGAGGGGAGCTGGCAATGAACATGTATACTGGGCAGGGCCAGTGAGAGGGTTGGGAAGTGTGGGGAGGGGCCTCTCTGTTAGGATGGTGTGGAGCCCTGTGGTGTCTGGAAAGGGCTCTCCCTGCAGAGGGATCAGCAGGTGCAGAGCCCCTAAGGACCAGAGCTGGGGGTGATGAGGTCAGAAAGAGCTGCGGTAGTGAAGGTCAAAGGACAGACATGGCTATCGGGTGAGGTGAGGAAGTGATGTCCTCTGACTTCCTGTGACTGGCTGTGTGCAGGGGGCAGCTAGTAGGGGGCCCGGCTGGAGGCAGTGATCCCCGCTGAGCACACATAGGCTAGAACAGAGTGGGGAGAGGTGGGGAGAGATGGTCGAATTCCCCATGCATTCTGCAGGTAGTCGACAGATTTTGTTAACACGTTGGAGGTGAGAGGTATGGGGATTTGGGGGAAAATGAGCCAAGGGTGAGTCTAAGATCTGTAACCTAAGACACTGGAAGGATGGAGTTGCTGCTTCCCAGGATGAGGAAGATTCTGGGAGGAGCATGTCGGACATTGAGTGGCCATCAACAGGCCTAGGAACCACTGCCTCCTGGTGGCGGGGCGCCGCAGCTCCGCCCCTGGTGGTGAGGAGGTTGAGCACCAGCGCCACCGCGTGGCCACAGCCCATGATCGCACCTCATCCCATCTCTGTGAAGCCTTGGCGGTGATCCCAGCAGTAACCCTGGCTTCCTGAGGGGCGCTAGGAGTGGGCCCCCAGGATAGGAGCATGCCATAGAGCCCTGCAGGAGCCCAGATGTGAGGGCCTGCCGAACCCTGTCCTGGGCAGAGGACCCCTGGCTTCCATCTCCCTGCAACAGGTGTCTAGGGCAGGCCACCAGCCTGCTCTGGGCCTCAACCTCCTCTTCCCCAGAGAGGGTCTCAGGAGCCTTTCCTGCTGGGTATCCGAACTCCCTGTCCTGACTCTCCCTCTGACCTCGGCTGTGAGGTGCTAGCAGTGCTGGCTGTCTGCTGAGGTCCTGGGCACCTGAGATAATCGCTAAGGTTTGTTAGGATCTTACTATCTGTTAGATCCGTTTACTCCTCCTAGCAGCTTCATGTGGTGGCTTTGATTACTCTCCCCCCACTTGACAGAGGAGAAAACTGAACACAGAGCAAAAGTGATTTATCCAACATCACACAGCAAGGAAGAGGCGGAGCTGAGATTCAGACCCAGACCATTTTCTGCTACTTGATGCATAAAACCATTTTTGAACTGGCAGTATAATATGCAAGAGTTATGAGCCTTAGTTCCGACTTGGCCACCCCTTGGGTGATCCTGGGCAGCTCCTCTTGCCCCCCTGTAGGCCTGTATTTCCCCTTATGTATTGTAAATGAGGGGAGGCCTGCCCGGGAACTTCTGGGGTTGAAGCCTGCCTCCTCTGAAGTTTGGCCTGGGGCAAAACTGCAAAGTGTATTTTGCACTCCCCCGTCCCTTCCATATTCCTTCTCCCTCCCACCCCCCTCTCTTCCACCCCTCTCCCTTCCACTTCCCTCCCTTCCTCCCCCCTCCTTCCACCTCTCTCCCTTCCATATCCCTTCTCCCTTCCACCCCCTTCCCTTCCACACCCCTTCCCTTCCCCACCTTCCTTTTCACCTCCCTCCCTTCCACAGCCCTGCTCCCTTCCATATCCCCTCCCTTCCACACCCCTCCCTTCCACAGTCCTCCCTTCCACACCCCTCCCTTCCACAGTCCTCCCTTCCACAGTCCTGCTCCCTTCCACAATCCCTCCCTTCCATCCCCTCCCTTCCACACCCCTTTCCTTCAATATCCAGGTCCCTTCCCTTCTCTCATCTTCAGCTCCCAGCTCCCAGGAGATGCCGTCCTTGACTCCTAGGCCCTGCTTTCACCTGCCAGCACCAGCCCCCCCCCCCCCCAGCCTTTTACCTACATCTTCTTAGATGTCACTGTCTTTCACTTCATGCATCTTACTGCTGTGTGTTAGCTATTTGGAAGCATGCGTGCTGTGCTTTCTGGCCCCTGGGCATCTTGGCATGGTGGTTCAGAAGCCTGCTTGCACTGGTGGCCTGGGTCAGCGTGTATGTCCAGTTCTCTTGGTCAGTAGCAGAATGGGTGCTGGTGTGTCTGAGTGAGGCAGTGGGACTGGCGATGAGCCTGGAGATGTGTGAGCAGGATCCAAACCCTCAGGAGCCGCCAGCTGGGCCAGATGTTAGCGGAGCTCTCCCTAGTCCTGATCGCTGCCCGTTTCAGAGATGCCCACATGAGACTGTTATGTTAGAGGTGACTCCGCTGGTGGGGGCTGCCCTGCCAGAAGCCAGACCAGGAGGCTGCTGTCTCAGAGCTCGGCTCTCCCCACCCACTCTGGGAGCAGCTCAGGTTTCTGCCAGGTCCTTGGACAGGAGCTGCTAGGACGGAGCCCTGCCCAACCCCCAACACCTCTACCTTCCAGACTGGGCCTGCCCTGCCCGATGGCACTGCAGCAGCCTCGCCATGGTGGCAGGTGTGTGCTCAGACCAGTGGTTCCCAACCTTTCTTTGGCCATGCCCCACCTAAGCATCTCTAAAATCCTGATGCTCCCTGTAACATATAATTTGTATCAGTCAAAAAGTGAACTCCTATTCATGTGGAGGAAGCCTAAAAGGCCATTAACTTGGTCTAACAAGCTTCCAAAGAACATGGCATCCACGAAAGAGAGAAATAAAAGAACCAAAGGACAGCTGAAGTACTGAGGAAGAAATCACTAAGAAATTGTTTAAAATGATAATATGAAGCGATATGAAAAGTAGCAAATAAAGTTTCAAAACATACAATAGAGAACTGTTATACATAAATATGTCACAGTATATATTTATACACTGTATAGGAGGCTCCTAGAACCATAAGAAATGCAAAAATTTCACTGTTAATAATTCATTCTCCAATTTCCCCCTCCCCCCCTTAGAAATGTAAGTGGTTCCATGTTGGGAACCACTGGTTTAGACTAAATGGGGCTCCATGCTGCTAGACTGGGAGCATGGCTGCTATGTCCCAGAATCATTGATTTCTTCTTAACTGTATTAAGGGGACTATCATTATGTGCTATGTGGTACATTTACTCTCAAGCCCTGTGAGGTTCCCTGGCCGGTTTGGCTCAGAGGATAGAGCATCCGCTGTGGACTGAGGGATCCCAGGTTCGGTTCCAGTCAAGGACCTATGCCAGGGTTGCAGGCTTGATCCCAGTAGGGGGCGTGCAGGAGGCAGTCAATCAATGATTCTCATCATTGATGTTTCTATCTCTTTCTCCCTCTCCCTTCCTCTCTGAAATCAATAAAAACACAAATAAATAAATAAATAAATAAATAAGAAAGAAAGAAAGAAAGAAACCCTGTGAGGTGAGACTATCACACTCATTTGACAAAAGAGGAGACTGAGGCACGGCAAGGTGTCAACTTGCTCATAGTGGAGCCAGCACTAAAATATTAAGGAAAACATCAAAACAACAAAGAGAGGGCTGTCTCATTTGCTGCGGGTTCAGCCCCAGCCCTACTATGTGCCTTCCTTGGGCAAGTTACTAAATCTCCCTTACCTCGGTTTCCTCATCTGTCACATGCAGGTGAGCCTGTGCTGACCCCACCGGATGAGTGGGAACTAAATGAATTAATGCACATGAAGCTCTTAGCACTGGACCCAGCACAAGGCAGATGCAAGGCGATTTGGTTCATTGGTTACTCACTAAGTGTTCCCGTGTTTGTCACGTCCTCGCCCTCCCAATGATCTTGTACCGTAGCCATGACTACACCAGGCTCAGTTTGCTGACGAGGACGCTGGGGCTAAGAGAGGCCCAGCTGTGCCCAGCTGTGACCGGGTCTGCTGTGTTCGCCCGCAGGAACCAGTGACGACCCGCTCCAGGACTCGGAAGGGCGAGAGGGCTCGGAGGCTGCGGCGGAGCACCAGTTTTCGGACCTGGAGGACTCGGACTCAGACTCAGACCTGGATGAGGACGAGGATGAGGATGAGGACGAGAGCCAGGATGAGCAGTTAGGACCGTCCCCGGAGGTGCCCCTGCCCCGCCCGCCAGCCACGCTGCCAGCAGACTCCTCACCCAGTCAGGGCCCGCAGCCCCCAGATGCCACCTCTGGCGACCAGGCCACGTGGGGCAGCTCCGTCTCGGAAGCAGGCAGTTGCTCCAGGTCCAGCCAAAGCATCCTGTGCCTCCCCCGGCTGGGGCCGGCCCTTCCGGGCCCCGGGGAGAAGGACACCAGCTCAGCCCTGAGCTCCCAGGCCTCGTCCCCGAGACGGCCATGGTCCCCCAGCAAGGAAGCAGGCGGCCGCTCACCCCTTGCCCACAAACACCCGCTAACCAAAAGCGACTCTCCCCGGCGACATTCACCCGCCCGAGAGCCACCGGCGTCGGCCCTGCGCCTGCCTGGCTCCCAGATTGGCCCTCTCCCTTGTGGGTCTCCAAGACTTGAGCTGACTCCTCTCACCCTCTGCCCCCTGGGAAGGGAACTGCCCCCTCGAGTGCATCTGTCCCCCGAACAAGAGGGTGCCAAAGACCCAGGCCCCCCCAGAGACTCGCCCACCAGGAGCCGGTCGCCAGGCCAGGCCTCGTCACCGCCTCGGTCAGTGCTGCCAGGGAAGTGGGCCTTGGCTGGGCCGGACAGCTCCTCAGCGGGCGAGTGCGGCCCACGCTCGGGGCTGGCCCCGTGGGCTCTCTACAGGCCCGCGCCTCTACCTCACAAGCTTCTCGGCAGAAGCCTCGAGCCCTGCGCCTCCACATGGGTGAGTTCCTGCCCCGAATGGCTGGGCCGCTCCTCCTTGGTGGGTGGGGGCTGCAAGGTCACACCTCCCTGAGGCACCAGGCCTGGAGGCGAAGAGCTCTGCCAGTCTCATGGTCACTGATAACTTGGCAAACGTTCATGGGCACCTTCTGTGAATGAAGCCTCAGAAGCAGCAGAGCACAGGCTCTGGAACTGACCTTATGCCATTCTCTCCCGCCCGCCCCGTCCCCATCCCCGTGTTTTTTGAGCAGATGGCAGAGCTTAACCAAAGTCATCAGCATCATTGTCACCAGCACCTCAGAGATATCACAGCCAGCACCATCCCTCTCCCACCCTCAGCACCATCACTGGCACCATTGCCCACAGTCTCCACATTATTACTCTGCAGCACACCATTACCACCACTGCACCAGCCTGGTCAGTGTTGTCACATCATCGTCAGCACAGTCACCACTGTGGTCACCACCATCCATCCCTGCCACCACCATCACCACCCTATACCGTCACTGTCACCACATCATCCTACAGTGTACACCATCACCACCCTATACCATCACTGTCACCACATCACCATCCTTCACCATCACTGTCACCACATTACCATCCTTCACCATCACTGTCACCACATCACCATCCTTCACCATAACTGTCACCACATCACCATCCTTCACCATCACTGACACCACATCACCACCCTTCACCATCACTGTCACCAAATAACTATCCTTCACCATCATTGTCACCATATCACCATCATTCACTATCACTGTCACCATATCACCATCCTTCACCATCACTGTCACCAAATAACTATCCTACACCACCATCATCATCCTACACCATCACTGTCACCACCATCACCCTACACCATCACTGTCACCACCATCACCCTACACCATCACTGTCACCACATCACTATCCTACACCACCATCATCATCCTACACCATCACTGTCACCACCATCACCCTACACCATCACTGTCACCACATCACCACCCTACACCATCACTGTCACCACCATCACCACCCTATACCATCACTGTCACCACATCACCATCCTTCACCGTCACTGACACCACATCACCATTCTTCACCGTCACTGTCACCACCATCACCATCCTACACCATCACTGTCACCAAATCACCATTCTTTACCATCACTGTCACCACATCACCATCCTTCACCATCACTGACACCACATCACCATCCTTCACCATCACTGTCACCAAATAACTATCCTTCACCATCATTGTCACCATATCACCATTCTTTACCATCAGTCACCATATCACCATCCTTCACCACCACTGTCACCACATCACCATCCTATACCACCACCATCATCCTACACCATCACTGTCACCAAATCACCATCCTACACCACCATCACCATTCTACACCGTCACTGTCACCACCATCACCACCCTACACCGTCAGTCACCACATCACCATCCTACACCATCACTGTCACCACATCACCATCCTACACCGTCACTGTCACCACATCACCATCCTACACCGTCACTGTCACCACATCACTATCCTACACCATCACTGTCACCATTATCACCACCCTACACCATCACTGTCACCACCATTACCATCCTACACCATCACTGTCACCACATCACTATCCTACACCATCACTGTCACCACATCACCCTACACCATCACCACCCTATACCATCACTGTCACCACCATCACCACCCTACACCATCACTGTCACCACATCACTATCCTACACCATCACTGTCACCATTATCACCACCCTACACCATCACTGTCACCACCATTACCATCCTACACCATCAGTGTCACCACATCATCATCCTAAACCATCACTGTCACCGATGCTGCCATGATCCCCAGCACTGATAACACCTTCCTGTTAACCTGCCTTTACCTTCCAGCATCTTTTCTGTCACAATATTGTCATGACCAAACACCACCCTCCACCACCAGCAGCATCAACACCATCACTCAGAGATTCCGCTTCTGGAGGACCATGATATAGGAGTTTCTCCTTGGTTATTAATTTTGGGGTCACGTTAAAATTCCTGGTGGTGGGTGAAGGTCAAGAGCCTTAAGTGGGAACTCATGTCCAGGGTAAAGTTGGGTCAAGACCATTTTAGGAACAGAAGGTTCAGCGGAACCAAGATCGAGGACCAAGCACAGGGGGTCAGTGGCACTCGTCTTGAGCACCCCTTTCCCCTACAGACAAGCATGCTGGCCAGAGGCATGACGGGCGAGGGCCTGAGCATGCTCCTGGTCAGTGCTGTCTGGGACAGCACTGAGGGCCCGGCACAGGCCATGTTGTGAGCAGGGCTGGAGTGTTCAGGCCCCAGCTCATTGGGTCTTGCTCTGTAAGCTCAGGCATGCCTCCACCTCTTCTAGGCCTTGGGGTGTCCATGTGCCTCGCATGTAATCTGGCCTTACCTTGTCCTGTTTTCTCACCCCAGCAGAAGGCTGAGTCCCGAAGTCCCTCCTGCTCACCTGGCCCTGCTCATCCGGTCTCCTCCCGACCCTTCTCCGCCCCCCATGACTTCCACAGCCACACGCCAGCCCGGACAGAGAACATCTTCAGCCACCTCCCTCTGCACTCACAGCACTTGGCTCGCCCCCCGTGCCCCCTGATTCCCATCGGTGGGATCCAGATGGTGCAGGCCCGGCCCGGGGCCCACCCCACCCTGCTGCCAGGGCCCACCAAGGCCTGGGTCAGCGGCTTCTCCTGGGGCGGCAGCGACCTGACGGGGGCCCGGGAGGCCCAGGAGCGAGGCCGCTGGAGTCCTACTGGGAGCTCCTCAGCCTCCGTGTCCCCCGTGGCCAAGGTCTCCAAGTTCACACTGTCCTCGGAGCTGGAGGGCAGGGACTGCCCCAAGGAGACGGAGAGGACGAGCGGAGGAGGAGGTCTGGGCAGACCTCCCGACTGGGAGTCCCGTGTGGCTGTGTCTGCAGAGTCCGCGCCCACGCACAGCCCCCGCACCCCGCCCGAGGCCTCGCCCCGGCCCCCCCAGCACACGCCGGCCAACCCCCCGGCCTCTGCCCCTTCGCCACTGGACTGCAGCGGCTCCGAGGGCTGCCCGGCAGAGGCCTCCACCCGCTTCCCAGCCCGGAGGAGGAACTTGTCTGGGGAACCCAGGACCCGTCAGGGCTCCCCCGAGCCCTCAGGAAGTGGGGGCCCCGGGGCACCTCCACAGCAGCCCGCCGACAGGGGTCCTCCGAGCACTTAGCCTCTCTCCGACAGCTTCAGCCTCTGGCCTTCGGTTGGGCAACAGACGCTTCCAGCAGCTTCCTCGAATCATCTTGCTCAGCTGGGCTCCCTCCCCCACCTGTCCGTGTGTCCGTGCAGCTCCGGCTCAGCCCCCTCGGTTGTATCTTCCCACGTGTGCAGTGACCTGTGCCTTTTTCTATTCCTTTTGTTGTTGCTTGAAAAGAAACAAACAAAACATACACACACATACATAAGCCACACGAGGAGTCTGAGGCTGGGACTACTTTGTGCTTTTTTGAGAAAAGGGTCAGCAGGCACCCCCCAAGGCTGGCAAGAGGCAGCCATTTGCCGAGGTAAAGGGGATGCACTGAGGGGGTGGGGGGGGAGACTTTAAAAAAATATATAATTAAATGTAAAAGCAAGCACTCCTATGTACAGATGTGTATGTCCTATTTATTGCCACTTCACCCCACCCCAGCCAGTGGCCCAGGCAAGCGGGGCACAGACACGGGCTGGGAGACCCCAAGCAGCCTCCACGGCCATGCCCAGAAAATACCCACTTTCTTGTCCTGGGATTTCAACCCAAAATAACCACAGGTAGAAGGTAGGAAGGGGCTGGCTGGTTCCCCCAGGGCTCCCAGGGTCTGACGAGGCCCTGGGTGGGAAGGAGCTCCATCCATTCCTGGTCCCCAGCACCTGACCTAGGCCCCACCACGGGCTGCCTCCCTTGTTCTAGAAAGCACCAGCAAGGCTGGAGTGGCAGGGCCCAGCCTCTCGGGGTCAAGATCCAAGGTGCGGAGCCTTGCCATTCCAGAGTCTGGGGCTTGTGTTTCCTTTCACATTTGGTCCCTGGAATACAAAGAGGCCCTTTTCCTCCCTGGCTGGCTTTACGGGCAGGCGCTGGGGACTGGAAGTTTGTAGGACTGGTTCCCCGCCCAGTCTCCCTCCCGTCTCCCCCACCCCCCCCCCCCCACCCCCCGCCCGCCACACACACACACACACACACACACACACACTCTCTCTCTCTCTCTCTCTCTCTCTCTCTCTCTCTCTCTCTCTCCCTCTCTCTCTCTGTCAGACTCCACTCCCCTCAGGAAGTACACAAACCAAGGCTGGGGGGAACTGCCCAGTCCTGTTTTGTTGGCTTAAATCCCTTTTTTGAAAAATGCTGTATAAATGCACATCTATAATAGAAAGAGAGGCTGCTGTTGGATATTTCCCACAGATCCCCAGATTCTCCTGATCTGGGTGGGGAAGGGGGTCCGTTGCCCTAAGTCGTTTGAATTCTTCTCCAAAACCATGGGTTCTGGCCAGCGACTCCATCCCCATCCCCAGCTCCCCCTGCCAGAAGCTGCCCTGCATCTGCTGGGGCAGAAACCTGCTTTGTAAGGAAAAGAACATGACTGGAAGTTAAATCCCAGGTTGAAATATGGAATTGGAACTCTAACATGCTTAGCCCACTCTGGGAGAGGTGACTTTCCCCAAAAACCCTCCAAAATTACTCCCTTGTTTCTACAAGGGGGAGAGCACGTGGCCCCGGGCTGGATGCTGGGGGCCTGCCCTGCCAGTCCCATCTGCAGCCAGGCGGTAGGAGTTCTGTCCCCGCCCCCCCCCCGCCCCCCCATAGAGGCTCCTGGGCTGTTCAGGGGAACGCCATGCGATGGGGAGGGTCCAGGCTCCTCTGTGAGCTCCCCAAACTCAGCTGTAACTCCTCAACCTCTGGTTCAGGGCCCTTCCTTGCTGAGTGGACAGGCCAGTCACTGGCCCAGCTGCCATCCACACCAACCAGGTCATTTTCCTTTGACCTCAGAGCAAAGACAAAAAGGGGCACAGAGGGAAAGGGTCTCCCGAGGGGCTGCTGGGCTCCCAGGGCCTGGGGGTAGGTGAGCAAGCAGTTCTCGGCTGCCTGACCCCCAGTTCGGGACTCTCACCCGCCCTGGGAGAAGCCAGCAAGCTGGGCTCTGACCACATTGGCACTGGTATATGCTGGCAGGAAGTGGGAAGGAACCCAGGCCCAACCCAGGCCAGGGCTTTCCTCACCCTCGCCTTCCAGTCCTCTCCCTGGGGCTGCCCAGAGACTAGAGACTTCAAGTGCAGAGGCCTGGGAGCTGGGTAACAGGCACTGCTTCAGCCCAGACGGAAAGCTCCCTGGGCACGGTCTTCCAGCCCCAGCCCCGCAGAGCAGCAGACTGAGTGCTCTGCAGGACTCACCCCTCACCTTGGGGCTGGCCACACTCCTCCACCCGCTCTGCTCGCCCAGCTCTCCTGGTCATCATTCCTCCCTGTCCTCCACCCACCGAGGTTTCCCTCCAAGGAGGTACAGTGGAGGCAGGGACAGTGTGGCCAGCAGGAGAGGGTCCTTATGGTCACTTGGGCCACAGACACAGGCAGGGGGACCAAGACCAGGAGTCACTGGAGGCCCGTTTCTCAATGCCAGGGACACAGTAGCACACACAGAGTCTGGCCAAGGGGCTGCTGCCCCACACGGGTGCTCCAAGGGGCGGTATCGATGCTACCTGTCGGGGTCCGGTGTCTGGGCAGAGCGCTAAGCCCTCTGCCTGACTCCACTTCCCAAGCACAGAGCCCCAGCCCACACGCACACCTTCATCATTTGGTAAAAGACTCGCTCCGAGCTGTTCCCAGCCCCCGGCCCTGCTTCCAACCACTTCTGAGTCTCCTGTTCCCCTGTGACACCACGGCCCAGGGTGAGAAGGCGGTGGAGAAAGCAGTGCTGACTGGTCGGCACGGACCCCTATTGTGTGCTCTGTTAAATGTGCGGGTGGCCCCTCCTTGGCCCAGGCCTGCTCCGGTCCCGGGGGGTTGGCAGGAGAGAGGAACAGCCTGCTGAGTTTCAGAGACAACCCGTGCTCCCAGGCCCGCCCTTCAGGACACCCTTCACCCTCAGCAAGCTCCAGGCCATTCTGGATGCTAACCCTGTTCCTCTCGGAGCATCCTTCCCCAGGTGCCCCACCTGCTGCTGGCACTCTGGTCCCACCCACTGAGACCCTCCTGGAGCCCGACGGTGGTGGACTGCCCACTCTCCCACCTCCCTCACCCCCAGCTTCCAGACCCACAAGTCCCCCTGCCTCCCTCTGTGGGAAAAAGAACGAGAGAACTCAATTCAGATCCCTTGTGCCCCTACTCCATTCCCACCCGGCCCTTTGGAAGGGGAATCAGCAATATATCTGAGCCGAGTTGCTCTCTAGTCCCTTCTTCAGACAAATCCTTCTTTAGTGAAAGTCCTGCCTGGGCGGCCATCTGCAGCCTTGTCCGAGGGGAGGGAGTTCCGAGGGGGCCCGTGCCACAAATCTGCTTCTGTGTCGTGAATCCCGTCCGTTTTCCATTAAAAAACTGCTTGGGCACTTACGATCACTTTACTAAATTTAGTGTTAAAAAAAAGAAAGAAAGAAAGAAAAGAAAAAAGAAACAGAAAAGGGAAACGTAGGCAAATGTAAGATACACACTCTCTGTAAGATAAATATTTGCCTTTTTTCCCCCCTAAAAGGTGTGTGTATTCTGTCTGTGAAATTGTCTGTAGAGAATTTCTATGTTCTTAAATGGCAATACATTCCAAAAATCGTACTGTAGATATGTACAGCGGCCACACCGGGATGGGGTAGTTTTGCCTGTAATTTTATTTAATCTCCAGTTTCTATACTTGCATCTTGCAATGTTGGTATGGTATATATCAGTGCAAAAGAAAAGAAAAAAACTCAACAAAAAAAAATCCACGCAGGTCTAAAGCACAGAGTCTGATGTACAAAAGGGGGAAAAATGCTCAGTATTGATATGTGTGACCTTTGTTGTAAATTACATCTGTACTGTGAATGAAAAGTTTTTACAAGTATAATATAATTGCCTTTATTACAGCTCTGGCTGGGTGTTCAGCCTGAGGATATTTTTTACAAAAAACACACAGCATGTTGGAATAAATTTGAAAATCCCAACATAGCCCTGCTTGCCTGGCTCCTGGTTTTGCTCGAGAGCTGTGGAATGCCGGAGTGGGCGGGACATTGGTGTTTCCAGTGCTTGCTATACTGCAGAGCAATCAGGCCCGGAGAAGGGAAGTGGCCAGGCCACGGTCACACAGCTGGGGACCCTGGGGACCCCTGGCTTCCAGACCTGGCGAGCAGGCACCAGACCAGTGGCCACATGGTCTGGGATCTGTATTTGTTTTCTAGATCTGCCAAAGCAAATTGCCATAAACTAGGTGGCCTCACACAACCAAAATTCATTCCCACAGGGTCCCAGAGGCCGGAAGTCTGAAGTCAGGTGTGGGCAGGGCTGGTTCCAGCGGGAGGTGGAGGGAGAATCCGCCTCATGCCTCCCTCCTAGCGGCTAGGGGCTGCGACCAGTCCTTGACGCTCTCTGGTCTGTCGCTGCATCACTCAGATCTCAGCCTCAGCCTTCACAACTCTGCCTTCTCCGTGTGGCTCTTCTCCCCTCTCTTCCAAGAACGCTCCTCATAGGATTGCAGCCACGCTAATCTACGATGACCTGATTTTGAGATCCTTGATTACATCTGCAAAGACCCTTTTCCCCAATAAATTCTCACTCATATGGTCTGCGGATTAGGACATGGACTACATGTTGAGGGATCACCATTCAACTCACTGTGGACATGGAACCAGATGATGGCATGGCCACTCTGCCTGTGTGACCTTGGGTGAGTTAAACAAGCTCTGCGGGCCTCAGTTTCCTCATCTGTAAAGTGGAGGGTAATCATGAGGATTAAATGAGACTGTGTATATAGGGTCTAAAGGACCTTGAACATAGTAGTAAGCCTTCAGCACATGTCCTCTGAGCAGGCCTTGCATTTGGTCCTGGGTGACAGGATGAAAAAGATAGGTGTAGGTCCCACCTTTGGCACTCACAGTGATTTTCTGAACACCAGTGAGGAGCCATCCATTGACTACAACAGATGGTCCCGCCCTCAAAGAGCCTACATTCTAACAGGAGAGGCCGTCCTTAAGCAAATAATGACATCATTAATTACTCAATCACAGGGACCAGAATTGCTGTGGCAGCGAGAACAAAAGCTGTCCTCCAGAGAGAGTGAGTCACCCCAGAAACCTTCCCTGGAAAACTCCTGAATATGGGTGGAGGAGGGGAAGGCAAGAACCACTGAAAAGGTTGATGAGCCACCAGGAGGGGTCCTCCAAAGCCTATTTATCAATATTTCCCACACCCCCAAGCAATTAATTCCATTTTGATACTCCCTAGGATAGCACCAGATCCCACAGGTTAAT